TTGACTCTCAATAATTTGCTAGATGCTTCATAACAGAGCCGACTATACTAAGTATGGCAGATCGAGGATGGCGATTAAGAATAAAGTTAGTAATTTTAATCGGAAATTGAGGTCAAACCCAGACTTTGCGGAGTGCTACTTAGTGTACTCTTACACATCTAATGATCTTAAAATGATGGGTTTATAATTCGATTTAAAGAAAATTTTGTACATACTTATGCACATATAGAAGCGCAATAATAAGCATTTATATATTTATATGAATACCTATAAAATAGACACTTAGAAATTATTCCAGATAAAATGTGTATTTAGTCAATTATATTAAATATTACCACATGTGGATGTATGCAATAATGTGCATTGAAGCATTTCAATTAGAAGCACTGACTTGGTTAAGTCTCCGTACGAGGGTATTTGCTGAGAAAAGCTCCAACTGACAATTTCTATTTGACAAATATTTACAAATTTCGCAGAATGAAATTCACTCATACACACACACACGCACATACACATGCAAATAGAATTAAATTCGGAATGCCTGACTTTGGCGTCTGTCTGCAAAGGACATACGACATCCGTAGGAAATGCATAAGACAGCCATATACCATATATAAGCATGTAAATGTTAATAACATGTAATGTGTGTGTGTACAATATAAACGTGTATGTGTCAGTGTCAAGTGTGTTGGTGTGCTTGCAATAAAGTATCTATAAAGTGTTAATTTCATTTTCAATTTGCCACATGCAATTGTGTCTTGGTGATTGTCGAATTGTCATCGTTTATCATCCAACAGAGTTGCAACAAACGTGGTAGTGGCAACACACGCACACATCAGTTTACTGTATATATGAAAAGTTGTCACTGCAACCATTCTTCCTCAGCATTGATAGGCTGACGCAGGAAAAGCTTCGAATCTGCCACATTGCGAAGATGCACATTTCAACTTATACATCTACTAATATAAATTGTCGCACGTTCAATATATTTATGTGCGAATGTATGTGTACATGTGTACTTATCTAAATTGTGTGTTTACGTCTATCAGTTGCATTTCTCGCATTGCAAGTGTCGTTCAAGCGTTGTCGACTGTCTGCAACTGCTGCTCCTGCTGCTGATGTTGGTGGCTTGAGTGTCTTGAGCTGGTGTTGGTTGCATTTGGCAGCCAAACAAGTGTGATATGCAAATAAATTATTGCATTTGGAAATCACGTAAGTAAGTTGTTCTCACTGTAGGACGCTTGAAGAATATTTTGAAGAATTAAATTAAAACTAAATCATATGAAATTGATTCTTCTCATACTAAATATACGATCTTTGAATAGTTGGACAGTTTCGACGTCAAATTCATAAACCCATGTCTCGTCTCCAGTAATGAGATGTTTTAAGAACGGACTCTATATTCACTACGTTGTCAAGCATCTCTTTTGCGACCTCTACTCAACATCGTTTTCGCAAAAGATGTAGGTGGTCTTTTGGTACGAGTCTAGCATTGACACACTTCATATCCAAAGCATGAACCAAAATGTGTTGAGTGGATCCATAAGAGATGTTGAGTTCCTCTGCTATCTTTCTGTTGCCAACACGACGATTTTCATGGTAAAAATCGCCAAACAAACCTTTCGCGTCGTAAACAAACAGCTGTAAAACACACACTAATTGACATATGGAGTTCAAAATTCATCCGAACATAAAATAAGGTACCAATCTAGAAAAAAATTGAATCCATTCGGTTTGCGCGCGCAGTTTACATGGATCAGTCGGGGTGAAATTCGATGAGATGGTACTTGTACAAATATTTACAGTTATCGGTGCAAAGTTCCACTTTTCGCGAAATTCGGGGAAGGAGAGAAACCTGCGAATGGATATACCTTGGGAATCCAAATATTATGTAGCCTACAAAAGAAAAACGAAAATCGCGATTTATTTTTCAACATTGTATTCCTTCCAGCCCGAAACAGTTGACAAAAAGATATCTAAATTCTTTAACGCATTCGAAAAATAGATTTTCTGGAGGTCTTCGAGCAGATCTTCGTGAAGCCGACACCCTCTTCGAATTTCTATCCAGCGAGTGACTTTTGTTTGGAAACAAAAAAATCGTAACGAGCTTAATCGGGAGAATACGGTGAATGGGGTAGCAGGTCGCAGCTTAATTCGGCCAATTTGACCGCGACGACGGTATAGATGCGAGCGGATAGGTTCTCCCGATAGAAGACCACTGTTCTCTTCGCCAAATGAAGTGTTTTCTTCTACAATTTGATAGGCAATAAAGATCACACCTTGTGAATCCCAGAAAACAGTAGACAGCCCCATTATCTGGCAAAGAAGTCCACCACTATTCTTTGGCCTCTAGTGTATACCAGGTTCTCCAAGATTCGTCAAAGATGACAACATCACGCAGAAACTACTTCGGGTTGCACTTAAACAACGTCACACATTGTTGTGAAGACGCCTCATAATTTCATTTGTTATCCGGAGAGAGCAAACGAGGCATCCATCGCGCCAAAATCTTTCTAATACCCCAGGCTTTTGAGATAGTCTCAACTAACTCGTGAACCTTCAGTCGGCGCTCTGCCCCACGAGATCGTAAACTTTAACTTTTGGGCATCTGGGTGTCGAAATTTGACTTGTGACCACGTTGAAACTCGCTATAACAATTTGTGGATGTCGTCAATAAAGGGAAAAGTCACAGGACATCTTCCAGAAACAAAAATTTAATCGCCGACCGATATTGTTCTTTTTTCATTTAAGTTTTCTTTATTACCATCACTACAACCTTGTATGTTTATATTCTATACATAAATGTCTTTACTGCACTAAATTCTGTAATAATGCGAGGGAATATGTTCCGCATTCGCACTTGTCGCCTGACAAAATGTCAAATGAAGCGCATCCGCCTTCCCAACCAACAGATCAACGGCAAAAGAAAACAACAAACTGCAACATATCACCAAGTTGATGAATTCCTTAGGTGAGTACCAGCAGCTCTCCTCTGCTCAACTACTTATCCAGCGATTCTACGGCACAGGAGATTGCAACGTCTTCTTACACCGTCAAATTAATTTGCATTCACGGGTTCACTTTCTTCATTCGCCTCGTCGCGTATAAATCTAATTTTAATGCATTAATTTGAGGCTGCCTCAGGCGTTGTGTGTGGCATGGCAATGCGTTGTAATTGTAATTGCGACTATAGCGCTGTTTAACTTCAACTTCAACTCCACCACCTCTGCCTACACCTGACTGCTGTCTCATTTCTCGTGTTAATGAAATTTCCATATACTCCTGAGACATCGGGTGCGGGGCATACATTGATTTAGCGGTATTCGTATTGCAGGAAATTATTAATTACCGTGCAGTGTAACACCAGGGGGATCCTATTTTATGAATGTACCGCTGGCGCATGCCTAAATCCATTTACCACCCAATTTCTTGGTGCGTCATACTTGTACGATCGTAGTTCGTCCCTTCACTTGTTCGCACATGTTTCATATTTTTCAAAATATTTCAGAAATGTGCTTTCGTTTTTTTGTCTTATTTATTTCGCGATTTCTTGGGTACTACCCAAGGGGAGACATCTAAATATGCAGCTTTTTGTGCGTACGTGCCCCAGTACTGATTGTCAAATCGACATTGCTATTTCAATTTTCTCATACATACTACTTCATGGGATTTTATTTTAGAGCAAATTTAACGGTTTCATGCACATTTCTTCTTGGGATATTACGTATATAAATATTATAGAAAATATTGTTACTCAATTCGTAAATATAAATATTAAAATCCCTCTACTTGTATATACTTGTATAGCCATACTTAAAAATAAAAGAACTAGTAGCACAATACTAATTACTACCTTAGACCGTGAACACATGTCCAACAATTTGGGAAATATTTGATGGAGTATTTATCTTACATATAAGCTACAAACATTGGGACACATCCAATAAAGAGCATTCCAGTCACTTGGGAGAAATTGTAACTCAGTTCGTATGTCTGTCCGATATATACCACCTAATATGTATCTAAGTATATAAAAAAAAATCCCAAAACTAAAATCCTCAAACTTAAAACCCACAGTAGTATGCAAAAAGGAATTCTAAGTGAAAGAACTGAGGACACCCCGGTGTTGAATCGACCAGGGATAGTTGCGGCCGAAGGCCGGCAACGAAAAAAAAGTGTTTTGGTGATTTTTAAATCTAATTTTAAACCTTACCTTTATACATTACATCAATGAACTCATTGCGTGTTCCCCGAAACGGATTTTTCAGTTTCGTAAACGGAAAAAAGTCACAAGAAGTCAAATATGGCGAAAACGGTGGTTGAGCGCAATGTTCCCAATCATCAAAAAATTTTCTAAGTAAAACTTTAACAAAAACCTCTTAAATTCTTAAATAATAATTAGTAAAATAAATAATAAATTATTATTACATAAGTTATATATTTAACTATAATATTGTAATATTTATTAATATAAATAGTCAAATATTATTGAATTAATAATAAATTTAATATTATAAATAATAAAAAAATTCATTTAGCAACGTTTTTTACTATTCCATATTAGTTTTATCTAATACTTTAAGCATCGAATCTTTTTTGAAACCTTTCCGAGTGACCTACATATATACAAAAAACTAATCAACAGCTCCAAACCAATATACAAAGTTACCTAATAACTTTTCAAACCTACTCTAGTTCACTTCTAGGACTGGCAAAAAGAAAAAAGATAATACATAACCGACTACAGTTCTATATAGTTGGTCTAACCATGTTAAGGGAAAATTTGAATAATTCAGTAGCAGTTTATCGATAAGCCATAGCTATATTTTGTATACATATTACCCATATGATATTTTTGCAATATTATATATGGAATACAATTAATTATCTTTACTGAACATAAGCAAAAAACAAAAATATTGTGAATGTGTAGTAAAAGCAAAAATGTGTTTTTTTTTTATTAAAATTAAAACGAGATAATAAAATAAATCCAAAGCCAATCCACCGCAGAGTGCGCGCATATCTCGCTTGCTTGTGAGCAGCCAAATGTCACTTTGGTTCGTTGAAGGCAAAAATTGAAACTTTGCGCTTTGTAGCTTGTTTGTTTTTCACTTATTACTTCATTCTACGCTGATTTGCACTCTCTGTTTTGAGTATGTTTGACGTTTGCGCTGTCATTTGTTCAGTTTTGTTTTTCTTTGCTTTGTTTTGCGTGATTTTTTGATTGCGTGAAAAATATTTAGAAATTATTGTATTTTGCGTATATTTACTATTAAAAATCGTGTTAAAATTTGTGCTGGTTAAGTGTGTGTAAAAATTAAAAGTTATAAATAATGGCTACAGCACCAAATGAGTTATCGATTGCTGAAATCAGAAACTACATGCTCAGTAATGATTCCAAGGTGACAAATCATGCGTTGGTTAAGCATTTTAAGCACTTTCTCACCAAACCCGAAACCCAAAGTGAGTCATTAATAAATGTGCACATTATCCAGCTTCCTCTGGTGTTTCCACACAACACCAAAAACCACTTTTAGCCCATACCAGCATCAACATCACTTGTTGCTCGCATTCAGACGCTAATTTCATATATTTTGTCTCTTCCCTTCTTCCGTTGCAGATGAAGCGCGCAAATTGTTTAAAGTTTACGTAAATATTTTGTCTACAATAAGAAATGAAAATAATCAAAAATATTTAATATTACGTAAAAAATACATTAACGAACTGCCAAGTAATGATGTTGTTCAGCGTGCAGTCGCCGCAGCAGGAGCAGAAGCAGTACCCAGTAGCCCAGGTGGTATGTCAGTTATATCGGAAAATGCTATTACATCGCCTATGCGGCAGCCCCCACCATACGTGCCACCACCTGAAGTTGCGGCAACCGAGAATAATTGCGGTTGTTTAGATCAGATCGTTGAAATGGTCACCATTGAAACTAGTAAAACGGCGCAAGCAGCCTTGGTAGAGTCTGAAAAGGAACCGCTCGCAAAGAAAACTCCTGAAGAAAATCATGAATTGGAAGTTGAAAAGCGTTTAAAAGCAATTTCCAAAGAAAGCCACAAAGAAAATAAGGAAAATATACCACGATTTTCCTTTTCATCTGAAGGCTCGGCAACTTCACTTAGCAGCAAATCAAGTAAGGACACCATCGATTCCGATGTGGATCCACCCGGCAGTAATGTGAGCGTCAAAGAGGCTACTCGTAAATTTAATCGCTTAGTGTCGGAAGAAGAAGCAAAAGCAGCTGTGGTTTCGCCATCAGGAAAAAAGAAAGCTGAAGAAAAAGACGAGGTAAGTTCTGCTTGCCAGCTAATATCTTAAATATTTTTACGTTTTATATTTTTTAATTTATACAACATTATTAAAATGTTATTATTTATAATTTCCGACTGATCATTAATATGAAAACGTGTCTTAAAAGTGTGACATATTCCAAATATTAAGAAGCAAAAAATATAGAAGAAGAAGTGATCATCATATTGTACAGTTCCAAGATCAAGTGCAACCAGCAGATTCAATAAGAAAGAACCTTAAAGAAAACGAACCTTATGATAGCTCTGATGAAGACATCGATCCGAGCGATTATAAATGTAATTGAACTATATTTTTCGGCAAATGAGGCAAAAATCAAAGCGCTTTCCTCACAGTACAGCAAATTTGAATTTATTAGTTACATTCATATATTTTATATAAATTTGTGTGTTCAGTTTGTATTTATTGCTAATTTGCAAAATCATGGCATTCATAATTAATTTGTCTAAAATTATTTCTAATATAGAGTTGAGCCGGTTGCCAAAATAAATAATTTTAATTTTTGTACACATTCACTTATTACCACAGCCTGTTGTATAATTTGTCTTACCAGTCCCAGAAGGCGAAACCCACATTTGGGTTTGTGAATATTTTACGAGTTAATGCTACCAGCATGTTGTTCCTAATAGAAGAAAAACGCTAGTTTAACAGACGTGCAATAATTGTAAAAAGCTAAAATGCAGCATTTTCTCTTTAAAAGCTGTGGTTTGTTTAATTGTGTGGACAAATGTCCAATGGCACCTTCCGGCTAAAACCACCGTAGCGATGGTTAGTTGGTTGTTGCTCATGCATGCAGCGTAAGCTAGCGCAGACAGCGTATGCATGCTGCACAGTGGTCAGAAATTTCAATATGCATACGAAAATCATGTTTTCACATTATCTGGTTAAGTAGTTAAATAATTTCAAGATCTCAATATGAATTAATAACTTCAGGATATACTACTGAGCATCTATCTACAATAATAAATTTTTAGGATAAATGTGAAGTGAAACCAGTTGACATTTGTACATTATATATATTTTCATTAAAAAAATGAATTATTTTGTAAATGAACAACACGAGTATTGAATTCCAAATTGTTATTTCATAGTAAACTGCTTAAAATTTAAAAAGATTGCATTGAATTTACGCTTCGGCAGTTGTCTATACAGTACAAATATTTGATATACAACACAGGGTGACTCGAAGTTGTTAATATAAATAGTCTTAATCGCTAGGTGATATGAAAAAGTACAAAAAGAAATATTTTAACAAATTTTAATTTATAACATTATATCACTTACTAAAATACCAAAACTAAATAAGCGCACAAAGATAAAGTTAAATTTTTTACCTTACCGATCCAAACAGGGTAAAATCTTTGAAATAATGACTAGATGCAGCACTATAGCCTCGTAATTGCAAACGCCGCGACTAACTTCAGACAAGCCCTGAGCGCCCTACACAGTCACCTCTTGGCATAGCCCACCAAATCAATTCCCCTAACACCCCTTTCCCTGTGGTCCGAACCCGTCAATAACAACCCGTTTTCTCCAAAGATAGTTTAATATACAATAAATATTCGCCACAACAATAACAACCACAACATGAAGTTGTATGAATCTTTAATTACAATTCATTCCGTTGGGATTATTAAAATGTCCCACTGTACCAGTGTGTGCTAATAAATAGAATGCACACCGTTAACTGCATGGCCAATATAAAATGTGTGGGAGATCACTCAACCCGACCATTCTACAGCACACTATAACTGCTTGATGCCTAAATACCTTCATATACTGGCTTTTCACAAAACAAAAAAAAATTAATTTCTGCATTTTGTTCGGTACACTAACTACAAGAATTTTTATTTCTCTTAGTAAACTAAAGTTTTTCTGCTGGTCATGGGGAATGTAAACCAGCCGACTACAAAATGCCTGTGGGAAGTGTTGCAATCAAAACAAAAACAAGTAAATAAGTGCAGCAAAAACAAAACAAACAAAAAACGATTCAAAGCAACCAACGTGAGCATCATGTAGCGGCTGTGGTACCACCATCGAACGGTGGAAATGGCAATGCGATTATATAGCCCAGAAAGCGGCAACTTGCGAGGCTCTGTAAAAAGTTAACCTAAATTTTTATGTTATATTATTTATATACCCTAAACAGGGTATATTAACTGTGACACATAGTTTGTAACACCCAGAAGGAAACGTCCGGTGTTTTTTTTTGTGTGAGTACCTGCCGGCGACGACCTTACCTCACGGTGCTTAAAAGCACAAAGTATCAAAACAATGCGTTGATCAGCGTCCCAAATAATACGAGCTATTCGCAAGTATTAATTTTGTTACCAGTGGCCAGTGTGTAGGGGCATACTGACCATCTTGGTAGCATTCGAGGCCGACCTAAAACCTCTTCCGTTTTCGGGTCCGAAACCCAGTTGCTTGTGCAACTTCTTTTTTTTTATCTGAAAGTTCAGTCCTTCCAGCATTTAGGTTTAAACCACAGCCACCACGAATCTGCCTAAAGGGCCAAGCCCAATGAACATATTGGACCAAGGTCCAAGGGCTTTCTTCTCCCCGTGGTACCAGAGTTGAGCCTCCGGTAAGACTGTGTAGCCGAAGCTACTGCCAGTTGAGCTACCCGTTACTCAATGACTGGTGACATATGTCGCTTGAACTTCAAATGTCTTTTTATTTGGAATCTCATTTAAAGTCTATAATATCAGTTCAAGCTGAGTATTATAGCACTACATCTGATATCATTACTATGCTGATATTTCTAGGCAAGGTAAAATAACAGTCATAGTGCATTTGGCTTTTAGTCGCCTCTTACGACAGGCATGCCATACAGCGGGTAAATTCTTACCCCTACCCGCAGGGGGAACCCAGAAGGAAACGTCGGATATCCTTTAAAGTATGCACACAAATAACACTACTCAACAAATCTGAAAAAAAAATTTGCGACTGATGTGCTCAGTCGCCGATATCGGATCATTGTAGCATATATATATATATGTATGTAGCTTCCATACAAACTGAAATTGTTCAAATCGAACCTCTATAGCATATAGCTTCCATACAATCAAGATATAATCTTTATGCTATAATAAATGCACCTGTGAAGGGTATTATAGCTTCAGTGCAGCCAAAGTTAATGTGTTTTTTAATCTTTTTTTTTTTTATATATATTTTTTTATATTTTTTTTTTCTCAGTGTTGCATGCAAATATTACACAGTGGTATACATTTATCAAACACGTTAAGCGCTTAGCGTTGGCATTGAAGTTTTGCCATGCCATTGTCATAACATGCTGATTAATTAGTGCAATGTTTGAAATTTATTTGTGAAATGTTATCAATAATAGCCCGGAAAGTTTGAGATTGCATTTGCTTGCAATTATTATGGGGCAGTATGTTAAGGGAAAGAACAAGTGAAATGTCATAAATTGGAAAAGTTGGAAATTTGAATTCAGAGAATGAACTGAATAATATATATAATGTAGTTGCTGTATTATGAAAAAGATCGTCTCAAATAATATTTATAGCGCAACAATTTTTACCGTTTGTCAAGATTTAAAGCATTGCAACTAGCATGTTATTTATAACATAGCGCAGTGTGAAGATTTACCGTTAAATTAGCATTCATTTAAGAAACTTGCATAGCTACTCTTTAGCATATCAGCGCAATTATCGTTTAATCATGTAAAGCAAGACAGATTAGCATGCCGCAGCAGGCCCACCCAAGCGGCTAGACTAATTACAACGCCGCTTCGATTTTTCACTTGCTGCAACACGCGCTTTTACACGAGTAGATGCGTTTTCGCCAATTTTTTATCGCTGCATAACAGTTGTTTAACATATTTTAGTCTGCCAACGAGCATATTTACAAACACTCATGCACTAATATATATATATATATGCAATATAAGCGTATTCCTTTATTTGGTTGCTATTTATTTTAGCTCCTCTGGTACATCTGCCACAGCTTAAGCGTTTGCTGTGCTGCTCCATCTACTTGTTCTCTGGAGCGTGTAAGCTGTCAGTTTAAAGTCAAGTTGCCCGCATAGAACCACCAGGCCGGCAATGCCTTGCCAACACCGGCATTGTGGCAGCAGGTTAGGGGCAATCGGCTGGCTGTTGCTATTCAGCGCCTTGTCAGCAACATAGCAGTGAATTTGAATTGAATAAATCCATTAATTTTATTAGCCGACATTAAAAATGTTCTGTTCATTAATTTACAACAAGAATAACATTTTCGTCGCATCTTCGTGCATATGTAGCTTTCCCTTACAGGTGCAGACCATGCGCTTGCTTATATCCACTTATGCGAATAAGTGTCTTCTAGGCTGTATATGTATGTATGAATATGCGCTTTTCTTCATTACGCCCACAGTATCAATAATGCATGTTTAGACACAATCTGCCAGATACAAATCATAATCAATTTCAAACTTTCCATACATTGAACGTATTCCATCTAATTTGAATTTCCAATAATTTGACTAATTTTTAAACACTTAAACATTCTTGACAGTATAATAATTTTAATTATTGTAATTGACGGTTGACAAGAAACTTACAAAAACATGTTCACGCATTTTGATACAAATCTTCATTACCGCCTTCAAAATAGGCTTCTATTGAGCTGATACAAGCATGCCAACGTTTAATCTAATTTTCCACACATAATTGTTATAAGCCTAGACTGGGATGGTCTTCAGTGTCTTAGAATGTAAGATAGTTTCGACGTCATACTCATAATCCCATGTCGCGTCACTAGTAATAATAAGTTTGATGAATGTAAGGTCCTCAGCTATGTTTTAAGCAGAGGTGGATACTGCCATTCATGAGGCAAGATATCGATGGCAAACTTTCATGGTAAACACACATTAATTGATATATGGTGTTCATACTTAACACCAACATGAGAATTGTTATACCAATCTAAGAACTATTTAACTAAATGTAGCAGTCGAAGTCAATTTTGATCAGATGGTA